TTTTATAACATGACTTTTCTAAATCTTTGGTCGTCAGACTCGTATTTTATTCTAATATGAAATACTTCTATTTAGTAAATTTTAATTGCATGGCTTATCCAAACTTTTGGGAGTCGTTATAAAAAGTTTTAGCAATTAGATTTTAAATCTATATATAATTCATGTACCTAATATAATTTTTGGGCTTTTCTCATAATATCTACACTTGGATTTTTTTTTAGAATCTGGATATCATAATAACTACCATGACAACATAACACATTGCACATGTCACTTTATCCATACATGACAATATCAGTTTTGGTGTATTTTAGTAATTATTTACCTTATCAAAACACTATTCTTTTTTTTTTTTCTTATATATAAACCGGGGTATACTCTCGATCAAAAGCCAGACTAATCCTCTAAACATGTATAATATGGGGTATTTTTGTATTTGCTCGAGTTATTGGTCCGTTGATTGTGGTAATCCTTGACAAATTCAATCTACGAAAAATATATGTTAATTTATATAATAAATTTTGTAATATGGTTTGAATTTATGTGTGCAATGGCATCATCGAGATGTCACACTCTCAATAAATGTCAGACATGGTAAAAAAGGAAATAAGGAAAACAAGACTTTGGCGAAGAATTCAAAACTTAGTTGTTAGAATGTCAATCGAATTACACATCACATGCCTTAGAATAATCCCCATATTCCCATGCAAAGCCAAAGTACCTTCACTAATTACACCATATAATTCTTCTCCTTTAATAATCGTTGTGGATTTGGTGATTAAAATGTTATAAAAATTCTTTAATTCCTTAAACCTTCTCCAACATTTTAATATCTTCGGTGGTCGTCGCCTCGTCGGTATCCGGCGTAAAAAAGAAGAGAAGCTTCTAAAAATTCCTAAGATAAATATGAATTTTTATAATAAAAAAATTCCTAATGTATGATCCCCTTATTTATTCATAAATTGATGTAGACGTGAAAAAAATTAAAAAATTTGACGTTAACGTGAATGAGGAGAGCTTGCCACGAAGGTGGTAGAAGCCGACAGAAGCTAAAAAGATCATAACTTTTGTTTTTGTTTTTCAAATATACTAACGAAAAAATACCACAGTTTGATATTCATCATTTATTATTGTTTGTGATAATTTTATTCGAGGATAAATTAAAACAAATGAAACAAAAATGGGATTGAAAAATGAAATGCAACCTTGTTATATATAACTTTTTAAAAAATCTTGTTGGATACATTCTTCAAAAGTTATAAGATACCCATGTTTGTTTTATTTGTGAAGTATTATTAGTGAATTAGGACATTATTGGAAGTTTTAGATCACACATTTTAATTTTTTATCAAAAAGAAAAAGATATAGATCACACGGTTTATATTCGTGTGGTGCTTGAAAAAATAAATAAAGTTGGTAGTCAATAAATCTAAAGTTGTGATGGATATTTTGTCTTTATGGGACTTTTTCTTTAAGTAAAGACTTTATGAAGTTGACGATGAATCTACACGGTTTACGGAATCTTCAGTTAATTGAGACAAATATTCCACTAAAATGTGATTTGAGAAATTAATAAACGTTTAGACTTCTCTGTCTTTGACATTTTCTTTGCAGCGTTGATATTTTCTTCTTTACTAAAATAAGAATAATTTATTGTTTTTCATGGATTCACCTAAGATTGTATTTGTACGTTGTAAATTGTAATGGTCAACTAAAACTTGCTACTGATATTTTGCCTATAAACCTACTATAAGTTTAGAATAATTTTCTGCTTTTGTCCAAAAAAGAAAGAATAATTCATTGCTTATTACTGAATTTCTTTAGTGTTATAGTCTTATAGAACAATAATTGTACTACTTTTTGTAACCTTTAAATTGTCAAATCCTATTTTACCATAAAATTTTAGTGGAAGATTGTCTTCATAAATATGAAATATCCTATCAATGATCTTTTACACATCCTATTCTAATCCTCTTATTAGGACACCGTTTTGGTTGGGACAAAATCTTTGCTCTTTTTTTTCTTCTTCTTTTTTACGCAATTATATATTTTTAGTCTTCTTTCATTTTCTTTCCGTTTTATTACGTACTACTTCTCAAGCTCTTCCCAGTTTTTTTTTGGTACATTTTTGACTTAATTTTTCAATGAATCCAAAACTATTCCCAAATGATCAAATGCTTCCTTTGTTGTTGTAATTGTCAGTGTAATTTCAAAAATATCTTTAAACCTAATTTGCATAACCAGAATTATCTTTCTATAATAAAAGGAAACACTAACACACAACCCAAATTTTGTGGTCGCACCAAATTAAGAAATACCTTATCAGCCTATATATCTTCCAAATTATTTTTTTCGAATACCCAATATTTCATCTATGGAAGAAATTAAATAATACAAATATGTATGCTATTATATAACACATTTGACATTCAAGTAATTCCAATTTATAATTATAATTTTTTCTTTCCAAAACTGTTAGTCTGATAAAAGTAAGTTGCTATCTTATGTGAACTTTTGACACACCATTAAAGAGCTTTAATTTTTTTACGTATACAGTATAAAGATTTGAACAGAGGGTCTGTTCAATTAATTGCAAATTTCCTATTGATGATTCACATATTACATGTGGCACAGTTAATAAAACGAATCAAATGTCTTTGGAGAAAAGAGAACATGCTAGGACAATGATTCACACTTTCACAGACATCTCCACAAGTAAAGCTAATATTTTTCCTTGGAATAAACAGAATCCTTATCGTTAATGCACTATGGTTTTGTCCTGGATACAACAAAGTAAAAAAGACTGGTCATGAATTCATTTCTTTGTTGGTGATCGCATTTGCTTTTATGTATCTTTTCAAATTTAAACCATAAACCTTAGTAATTTCGGACAAAACCTCTTTGTCCACACCAGGGCAAATCGCGTAAATCATTTTTGTTTATGTTTAGAAAATAGTTATTTAAAATAAAAATGTTTTATTTATACACTATTTTAACGCGAAACACATAAATTTTAATTTGAAATAAATGAGACCCTATCATCTACAACCTAATATTAATCCCATTTTTGATTTGGGTTAAAATCCCAATTTTGGATAATATCTACAACCAATTGAGACCCTTTACATCTACAAGACTACAACCAAATTTGAAATAATTTGATAAAATCCCATTTTAATCATGAGAACTTTGTAGCATATATGTTCTAATGAGTGTTACCTATATGTTTGGTTAAACATACCAACTATTGATGGTGCTCTAAATTTGTTCAACACTAAAACAGAAAATGAGATCCACATCGATAATTTATATTATCTGGTCTATACCTATATGTAATCGTCTGAATTAATAAAAAATTTCACATTATTGTATTCCGGGTTTCTGTTTTTGATTTCTTCAAAATTCCATTTTTGTGTTAATTATATCCAATGCAAAAGAAAAATTAAGTTTCAAATGAAAACACAAGCAAGACAATGGACCACACATACACACGCACAAAGGCAAATAAAGACAGAAGAAAGAAAAAGAGAGCAAGTAAGACCAAAAATGGAAAAAGAAAACAAAAAAGAAGAAGAAGAAGAAGAAAGAGATAAGAGAAAACTTTGGCATAGAAATGGAGAGTGCAAAGAGAGGAGCCCAATAGGCTAGTGTCCAACACATGCGATTACCTACAAAACCTTACCTGTCCCTAATAATTAGCTAGCTTCTAAGTAACTCTAACCAACTTTTTAAGTACTATTCTCCATACATACATACATAAATACATGCACATAAGTCACGTAACAACACTATTAATACACATCAACGACGTCACTATGTTATTATATCATGTCTTTATGGAATTAACAAACATTATTTAGTCTCAATACTATAACACCTATTGGCTCAATAAACTGCGTTAATGGATACGAGCATACGAGATATTTTACGTACTAGTTGTCGTTTACTTTTTTTTTTTTTTTTTGTCTTCTTGATAAAGAGAGTAAGTGAGTAACTTACATTGTTATGATGACTTTTTGGGTCATACAGTTTTAAAATAGTAATTTAGTGAGAAATAAGATTGAAAATACATTTAACCAAACATATAGTTAAGAGGAAGAGGGAAGACCAAGAGGCAAACTAGCTCATTATTTAGAGATAAATCGTTTATTTTTGGTATCCGAAAATACTATTATATTCAAAGTCAAATTAGTTTATCTGTTGCTATATATATGTATTTTAATTTCTACTTTGTTATTGCTAAATTTAGTTCCAAACTATAATTTTTTTTTTTTTTTTTTTTTGATAACCGTGGGATCCCAAAGGCTTCCTAGGCCCAAAGACTAATCCACGAGGCCTTGCATCCGGGTACGCTTTACCCCATCGTTAAGGGAGCGGCTAGGTGGCCAACCCGAATCGAACCCAGAAGGGGGAACTCACAGCCGTGAGCCCTTTACCAACTGGACCAACGTGGGTTGGTTATAATTTTTAGTTCTTACTAATGAGAATTTTATTTTCTCAAATTATAATATTACTAGGTAAGAATTCGCATTGTATAAACCTTTTAACAAAAAATAAAAAAATTCGTCTGGCTTATTACACCCAAATATGAGTGTATATTTATTTACACCCTAATAGCCATATTTATTTTAAATACCGAAAAATACCTATTCGATATTACGTTTTGTATCTACCAGAAACAATTTTTTTTTTCTTTCTTCCAAGTTCCAAAAAAATTCTAACTACGAGTTTTAAAGTTTATTAGAAACCAAGCAGAATCTAACGAAGCCCAACATATTAAACAGGCCCAATACCAAAGCCTTAAGCTCCGAATTTATCCTCAAATCTTAAACTCGGTCAATGCAATTTTACCAACTCAATCGAACCGGACCGGTTTACTTCACGACTCGCTCTTGTCTTCTTCTTCCTCTGCAAATCCCACACACAATTTCAATTTCATATTCATCTCCAATGTTAAATCTCATTTAAGATCACAACAATGGTTCCCTTCATTTCATTATGAAAACCCAGTAGCTTCTTCTGTGCTTGAAACAAGGTACGGAAAATATGTTCAATACATACACAAACTCAGTTCTATGGCCGATTCGAAGTAGAAATCACCAAGATTACTGCTCTTTGCTTCCTGAGAGATCTGAAAGTTACCAACTTTCTAAAGTAAAAGCATCGTCGAAATGTTACTGTGTTAGTTCTCGCTCAAGCTGTTGCTGTTGTTGTTCAACACCATCTTCTTCTTCATTTGTTAAGCCTAAGGTATTGATAAACCCTGGATTTGTGCTTTATGGGATTAGACAATCTACGCTTATTCAGTGGCCTTCGTTTCAAAGGAGGTTGCTTGTGGGTGGGAATAGGCTTATGGGTTGTGAGGTTTATTCTCCTTGTGATAGTATAAGAAGGAAAAATCGGAGCTTTAAGCTTAGGGGTATGGAAGAATCTGATGAATGTTGTGGGAGTAGAAGTTGTTCAGATGATGTAGAAGCTATGATTTCGTTTTTAAGTGAGGAATTGATAGATGATGAGAGGAAGTGGAATTTGGTTAGTAGAGTTGAAGAGAGGAAGAAAGTGGGGAATGTGAGAAAAATTAGTGTTGAAGGAAGAGATAGTTGTGGGAATGGGAGAGTTTCTCGAAGAAACGAGCGGGACGGAGTGAAGAGACCTGAGGGGTTTGGTAAGCGAAATGGGATTAAGGAAGATGTGAAGTTACAGGAAAGAGATGATTGTGAACATTGTGGGAGGGGAAAGAAAAGTTCTCAGTTGGAGAGTGAATCTAGGCGTGGTTCTAAATTGGTTTCTGGTGAGTATATTGGGAAAAGTTATACGGGGAACGAAGAAAGAAAAGTTCGACCGATAAGGAAAAAGAGTTCGAGTTGTTCATCGTATTATTCCCTTGCTTCTTCAGGGGAGTTTGAGAGTGATACTGAAGATCAGGAGGAGGATGTGGAGTTTTATCGCGAAAACGTGAGAAATTCAGAGAAGAAGGTTGTTGAACAGTCAGCCAAAGGATTGAAATCTAGAAAGGAAGCCACTCAGGTGCATTTGAGGAAAATAAGAGATGAGAGCTCTAATAGAGTGGATTCAAGGTATCAGAAGCAGGTTTTTGAGGAAGGGGAAAATTCAAATCAGGCAGTGACTTTGAACCAGAGAAGAAGAAAGAAGTTTAGTCAAACTGGTAATAGAGTGTCTGAATCGATGGGACATTATGAAGAAGATATGGAAATTCATGAGATCCATGTCAACGATGCAGAGACTAGTTCTCAAAATCAAAAGCTCATTGGTGAAAAGGAGGACTATAGAGTCCACTCAATCCGTAATGATTCTGGAAACGAAAACATTGAGAGTTCTCAGCAGCTATTGAAGGAAAGATCGGAGATTCGTTATAGCAGTGAGGATAGATTATCTGAAATGCGAAGAAGAACCAAATATAGCAATAGCCAGGAGGAAGGTATAAATGTGCTCCAAAATTTTCCAGAGGCGACAAATGATCAGCAAACTGTAGTGGAAGAAAGGATATCTAAGCAAGCTGGTAGGAGAAGGACTACCGAACACTTTTCTGAAAGTTCAGAAATACATGACATAGACATCAGAAATACATATGTCTCACAAAGCGAAGACCAGATTAGAAACCAAGAAGTACATGCTGGCTTGATTTCTGGTTTGCAATCTGAAAGGAAGCAGGATGATTATCATATTGAACATAATCCCTTGCAAAAGATGCAATCTGACAGAACTTCCGTGTCTGTATCTCATACCAGTGATGCAGTAAGGTATACTGAAATTCAGAGAAACTCTGAGAAGAGGCTGATTGGTCAAGGAAGTACTACGATTGTGCAACCGGACAGCAAAGTAGAAAAAAGTGGTGCTTGGAAAGAAGACTCTAGGCTAGATGTTGCTAACTTGAAAAAAGAAGGTCAAACGACCTTAGGGTTGCAAAGTTATCAGTCAAAGCTATCTGAAGAGGCCTCAAGTTCACAATCATCTTTGATGGTCTCACGAAACAAATTACAACTGGTAGATCTGGTTTCAGAGGAAATGCAAGGATCTGAAACAACACTGATTCCTCCTTCTTCTCAGCTGGTAAGCAGAAGATCAGGACAAAGCTATGGAACTGGTGGAGTTTCCATTCAAGAAATTTCCCATGGAACTTCAGAAAGTGGTTATCCTACAGCCTTTGAACATCCAAGAGCAGGAGCTTCTGTTAATAGTCAGTCTGCTGGAGAACTGATGGGATTTACATCACATGAAGATGCTATGGGTTCTGCTCATCGGTTGGAACAGTCATCAGAGAAATATGTTGGGGAGTTTGTGAAAAAGGCCAAACATGAAGTTATAAATCCAGAGACTGAGAAGCAAAGAGCTGAAAGCAATCAATTGAAGAGGCGGGACTCAAGGCGATCATCTGGTGGTTCAGGAGCAAAGGGACCTTCAGATGAAATGTGGGTAACGGATTCTGCTCAGGGAACTCCTCATCCAGGAGCCGCAGAAGGCAATGCAGCAGAGGGGAATGCTGTTTTCAAAAGAAATGGTAGGTCCTTGTGGAATGTTATAGCTGATATTGCTCGGCTTAGGTGGGGCTCCCGAGCTGGAAGCCCTGACTCGAGTGCAAAGCCCGCTGGAAAGAGTTCACCCAACGAGTCAGTTAGCAGTGCAACATGGTTTTCTGGACGTGAGCATGACGGAAGCAGTGATGATAACACAAAAGGGGATAAAGTTTTGCCACAAGAAGCTCCTTCCCTAAATCAGTTGGAGGTTGGTCAAACTTCTCCTAGAAGCCAATTTGAATATTCCGGCACTACAAAACTGAAACAGCGATCTGAACAGCATGAAGGTGTGGTATCATCGCCATCTTCCACAATATTAGAGGGTGGCTCAATATCCAATCACATGTCTTCCACATCTGGTAATCAAATTGTTGGTGTGGATGAAGAAGGCGGAAACTTTGAGTTCCGTCTTCCTGAAACAGCTTTGACAGAGGTGCCAATGAAACTGCCTAGTCGAAACCTGATAAGATCTCCTGCTATCAAGGAACCTTCAGAATCTAGTCCCACCGAGGCACCCAGTGATCAAAATGTTACTGTGGGAGAAGGAAGACGCTACCCTGGAATGGATGCAGGTCAAAATCCATTATTATTTCCAGGTCGAAACCTACGGTCTCCTGCTGTAATGGAACCTCCAGTTTCCCCTCCCAGCATGATATCCGGCAGTAGCAGCTTAAGAGAGCAGGTTGAACATCAACAACCTCTAAGTGCGAAGTCCCAGGAAGAAACAGGTTCTGTATCGGCAGACTCTGCGTTGATACAAAGGAAACTTCAGAGGAACAAACAGGTTGTGAGGGATAGTTTTGAGGAGTGGGAGGAAGCATACAGAGTAGAAGCTGAAAGGCGAACAGTTGATGAAATATTCATGAGAGAAGCGTTAGTAGAAGCTAAGAAGGCTGCTGATACATGGGAGGTACCTGTCGGTGCTGTGCTTGTTCATGATGGGAAGATTATTGCCCGGGGTTATAACCTGTAAGTTTAATTTTCTTTGACCCCTTCTCCCACTGGATTCATCTAACAGTAGTTTTGTGTTTCAGAGTAGAGGAGCTTCGGGATTCAACCGCCCATGCAGAAATGATTTGCATTCGAGAGGGTTCCAAAGCACTTCGTTCATGGAGGCTCGCTGTAATCTTCTCTCTTTCTCTCTCTAAAACACCTCCATCATGGTCGAATATAATTTTGGTTACATTGCAATAGCAAGAACAGTATATGAGCATAACAAAAGATTTATGTTTTGGCGTGCTGATGATTAATTTTTTGGGGAAGTTAAATAAAATGATCATTAGTCAGGGTTTGGTGATGTGGAATTGTGGATATAATAGATGCCACAGTGAAACTATTTGAAATAACTTGCTTATTCTCCCAACAGGATACAACTCTCTATGTAACACTAGAACCATGCCCAATGTGTGCGGGAGCAATACTTCAAGCAAGGGTCAACACTCTAGTGTGGGGTGCTCCCAATAAGCTTCTCGGAGCAGATGGCAGCTGGATCAGGTATCAATAACTTCTCAAAACTGAAAAATGTTCTGGAACATTGTAGACTCAAAATCATGGAACAAATGATGTTTTTCAGGCTGTTCCCTGGAGGCGAAGGAAATGGATCAGAGGTTTCAGAAAAGCCACCGCCTCCAGTTCATCCTTTCCATCCTAAGATGACAATCCGTCGCGGAGTTCTGGAATCAGAATGTGCTCAGACCATGCAGCAGTTTTTCCAACTTAGGAGAAAAAAGAAAGACAAGAACTCAGATCCATCTACTCCTACCGATCATCATCATCACCATCTTCCCAAACTCCTCAACAAGATGCATCAAGTCTTACCCTTTTTCTGTCTGTAGAACAAGTTTTGCATCTGATCTGTTCAAAAATTGTATATTTTTCTGTCCACTGTCATTTGTTAAAATCTCAAGACAAGGTTGGTTCCTTGTAATGCCATTGATTGTAACGTTAAGCACAATTTCTATATGAACACATGTTTTGCCTTAAAATTTTAATAACCAACCTCTCTTGGTAGTGATCTAGACTCTTTACCAGTTTTAGGTCCGAAGGAAGCATTGGTCCCATTTAGTTGATGATTAACACGTTTTATTAAAAGTGCTGATTATTATTTGGGACAGTTATTTGATAAGTACGTATTAATGGCCTGGAATTAGAAGCAACGTAGCATTCTGATGAAGACTTGATCTCTTTAAACCACCTAACTCATCGTTGCACCAAACTTTTTCATTCATACTTGAAGACTCAATATCTCCCAGCTTTTTATATGCATAATATTTCACCAATTGTTTCTTGTAGCTTCCATCACAACACAATGGATTCAAATTCAATCATTTGGTTTCTTCTTTTGGCTTCTGCTCTCATCGCTCCCTTTAGTGTAAATGCACAAGGACCTGCTGCTTCACCGGCAACCTCCACAACCACTGCTCCGCCTCCAACCACAGCTGCTCCTCCTCCAACCACCACTGCTCTTCCTCCAACCACAGCTGCTCCTCCTCCAACCACCACTGCTCCTCCTCCAACCACAGCTGCTCCTCCTCCAACCACAGCTGCTCCACCTCCAACAACCACTGCTCCGCCTCCAACTACCACTGCTCCACCAGTTTCAGCTACTCAGCCACCAGCAGTTACTCCAACTTCATCACCGGCTCCAAAAGTTGCACCAGTAAGCAGCCCCGCTACTCCACCTCCGCAACCACCACAAAGCCCGCCTGTTTCAGCTCCATCCGTCTCACCACCACCAGCGCCGACTTCTCCCCCACCCGCACCAGCTTCACCACCACCTGCACCAGTATCTCCACCACCCGCACCAGCTTCTCCGCCACCAGCACAAGCGCCTACACCTATAAGTCTACCACCAGCTCCAGCACCGGCTCCTGCCAAGCACAAGAGAAAGCACAAACACAAAAGGCATCACCATGCCCCAGCTCCAGCACCAATTCCCCCAAGCCCTCCATCTCCTCCAGTTATAACAGATTCACAGGACGCAGCTCCAGCACCATCACCAAACACGGTAACAATTCAATACTAAACAACAATCTCGCCTATCACTGCTATCCTTATATGATTCTAACCTTCTTTAATTTTCCGGTGTATAGAATGGAGGAAATGCCTTAAATCAGCTGAAAGGAAGAGCAGTAACGTGGCTCAATACTGGACTAGGAATCCTCTTTCTGCTGGCTATGACAGCCTAAAATTCTATATCTCATGATATCACAGATGTATCGACTCGAACAGCTACATTTTTCCCCATGTATACCAACACATTGATTCAAAAATAATACATTCTTTTGTATTCTTTGCGGAAAATAGCTTACTTCTTATCATTCATAAAAGAACACATCTGAGAAAAAAAGAACAAAACTTGATTCAAAATTCAACGTAGCTAATCAAACTTGATCGGTACCCGAATCCTTGGAGGTTTCCCGGAAATCATACTCAACAATGAGACCAAGATTATCAACAAGTTTATGATGCTGAAGACACCCTGCACACTGCCAAAGGAATAAAAAAAAAAAGCAATCAACTAACCAAAGCATCTCTCTTGGGAAATTAAGCAAACATGTGGTGTGCGCAATACTTACCTGAACAAAGACAAGCCCATTTTCATAAGCATGCCGATTGATAAGCCGCTTAGTTCTTTCTCCACACGAATCGCAACTAAATTCCACAAGCAAACTTCTTCTCGGTAGCTTAATATCTATAGAAGCAACCTGTCCCTGCATAACAACAACAAGATACCAAATTTTCAGCGAGAAGACACAATCACCATAAAGAGAACTAATTTAATTAATACCTCTGCGGAATCATTTGATTCTTCATCTGGGTTTAGCTTAGAATCATCAGTGAGTGATCCAAAAACAGAAACATAACGATTCCTTTGCTTGGGTGTTACTACCTCTATCAAACGAGCAGTTCTCGACCTAGAGAAACACCAAAAGGCAGCGTCTTTCGGAGATTTTAGAGTGAGGAAGAAGAAATGAGAAGAGACCCATGAAAGAAAACATGATGGAGAAGAGATTTAAGCTTAGGACCTGTGTAGAACCGATATAGGGTTTTGATGCTGGTACGACGGACGAGGAGGTTTGCAGAAAGAAGCTGAGATGTGAAAATTGATTGGGTTTGGGTTAGCACTTATCGGAGAATAGATTGGAGGCAAAACCGGAGACCAACCGGCGGCAGTATTCGCCATGTTTTCCGTCCTTGTCTCTGTGTATTGACTGGAGTGGTTGGAACCAAACTATTAAGTAAAATGGTAGCCTTCAATGGAGTAATATCTATCGTTGATTTTCATAGTTTCAACGTCTCAGATCCGGACACGTGTGTAAACAGAAACAATTCTAACTCCAGATTTCTTTCGAATACAAAGCTCAAAGACCTTTTGTAGATGTAGTTCCAAATGATTTTTTGAAAATATTTTATTGGAGTCATTGGGAGAGCAAGATGTATATCTTGCGGACGACGTAATATGAACCGTTAAAATCCGTTGATGAAGTAAAGCTCGTGAAGTCCAAACCGAAAAATATTTTAGATTTCTATATTACTTCTTATACAAACTATTTTCTTATGTGTTTAGGAAAGTTTACATTATGTTGGATTGTTGGTGATAAACTGATAATACTATATATGTATGTGAGATTTCATATCAAACACAGTTCAATAAACTATTTTATTCTATATTATTTGATATATCCTTTAGAAAAATCTCATTTATTTTTATTTAGACTTATAGTTGGATAAGAAAAAAATACAGTTTTGTCACATGTCAATCTCTCTTGAGAATGTTAAGACATTTTTTCAATAGAAGTAGTTTAATAGTTTAATATATTAACACATTTTTTTGATAGAATAAAGATCTTTTATTTATTTTGAATATATAAACAAAAACAATTTCAATATAATTAGGTTAATAGTTTAGTATATTATTAAAAATTATATAAACGAATATTCCTTTTTATTTATGCATATATTTCTTTTTTCCGATAGGGTTAAGAACTTTTTTTTTTTGTAAATAAATTAACTAATTTAAATTTGACAGACAACATGTGATATTTCAATGAACACGTGTCACGATCATATGAATTAACAGTTAAAAAAACTAAATTCATATAATAAGATATTAATACTGTAAATTGTAGTTGATGAAATTGGCAATAATCAGAAAAATGATAACATAAAAAGTTGGTTTTTTATAGAAAAAGATATGAAATCTATGGTTACTTAGACCATTTATTTATTTATTTTTTAATCTTAAGTTAAAATTTTTGTTTTTGTTTGACTCATAGATTTATTTGGCTACATTTTCTAAAATGATTTTTTCCCATTTTACACCATGTATTCTATTATTTGTGGGATTATTGTCTAAAATGCCATTTTTTTGGAAAAACTTACGAAAATACCATTTTTTTAATAGTTTACGGATTTTGCCCTTTTTTAACACTTAAAAATGTACGTATTTATGATTTGTTTTGCAAAAATACGTACTTTATACCAAATACTAAACCCTAAGAACAAATAGAACCTACTAAACCCAAACATAACGAGTGAAACGCATGTTAAATCATATTTTTGGAGCTTGAAAAAGGGCAAAATCCACAAACTATTCAAAAAAGGGCAAAATCCACAAATGCCATTATAAAAAAGGGCAAAATCCGTAATTAATTCATTATTTGTTGAATTCTTTTATGACCTTCTTATATGTTTTGGCCACTTGTAATCAACTTTCACTTTTAATTAATTTTGAGAGATCATTCCTATATGTGTCATTCTAATCTTTATCCGTTTTCAGAATCTAATTTTATTTTCTACTTTTTATAGGTAGTGCATGCATCTAATTTCTTATATATACGGCATTCATGTGTAAAAACCATCACACCCATCATTTTTAATTTTGAAGTTTTCATTTTGGTTATATCATCAAAGATGTCTAAAACTTCTGTTCTTGCTATTTTCATGGTCGTCCTCGTTCTAGGTTTGATTCACACTTTTAACATATTCTATCATTAATATTTTAAACTAAGAATCCACATTACGTATTTTCACATGTTTTTCTTCTATTTGATAGTTTTCTTTTTTTGTTGCCTTTCATTTTATTACAAAAGAAATTGAAATTATATTTAAACATTTATATTAGGACTGGTGATAAAGGAGACGCAAGGACAAGAACTGTGTCATGAATATTTTCAGTTAACCGCACCATGTGAAAAACAACAGTGTATCGATATGTGTAGTTCGAAGTACAAGACTGGAAAAGGCGTTTGCGGGCCAGCGGTCCATCAATGCTTCTGCACTTTTAGTTGCACAGTTTAATTTTTATGTTCCTCTCTATAAACTATTCTCAATTCTAATAAAAAATAACATTTTCTAGTTTTATGTGTATGTGAATTATGATTTAAATTATTCGGCAGAAACTATAAATTGGTATTTCTAATTCATATGTCGAATCTCTATTTGTTGAGACTATGTTCGCTGAAAACATGGCGATTGTCGGAGTTTTCATGATTTAGGATTGTCCAGGTCCGGAAAATTCATAGCACAAAATCCAATGGTTTTAGGAATCTATGTTTTCAGGATCAATTTCTTAAATAATTATTAGAAAATTGAGAATTGATACAATATTGAGTACTTGAATGAACAATTATTTTCATATGTTTGGATTTGATACAAAAAAACATCAAAACATTTGTTTTCATAAAAAAAAAAATGCATTTATCGATTAACCCGTGTATTACACCGGCCGGTCCCAAATCTAGTGTCTACTATTAAACTCTTTTAGATATAACTCTTTTTAGTTAATTTTTTTTCCTTAAATTTTTTGGTGATGAACAATGGGAAAACAAAGGGGAGTAAAATTCTTTAGTTACATCAATTTCTGGACAAGAATAATAATAATGTTGAAGATTCTTGATCACTGATCACAAAATATGGTTGATCAAGAAAGAACAAATCCTCCCCCTCTTCTTTTTCTTCTCTTGTTCATTCAAATCTGACAAAGTTAACAATGATGATTGATTTGATCAGATTAGTCTTCTTCATCGACTTCTCTGAAAGGAAGCGGCACTGTCTTTACAGCGCGAAATTTCCCTGCATTATTTAGATGCTCATTCTCCAATCTGCATATGTTTTGTATTTTGTCCACACAAGAATTAGTATATATCCTGAATCTGATTCCAATAAAGATTCTTAAAGGGAGATTAATTTTACCGGTAAAAGTTCCATTGTCCTCTTCTGATGACTTCAAGAGCAGCCAAGAACAATCCTGTGACTCTGTAATCCACATGCTCAAAACTTGAGTGCAAAACTGTTTGTAGCCATGCCAATCTCAGAACAAGATTTAGAACCTACAAAAGAAATCAGAGAGATTCGCGGAGCATAAGTATGAGAAAAAAATGGAGAGGAGAATCAAATTATTATTATTTTTTTTCATATTTTTGTTGAGATTTAAGTGTGTATTTGTGTGATTAAAGATTTGGATTTGTACCATAGAGAAGTAGTAAATAGATTTTTGGCGAAGCATGAGTTGATTCCTAAGCCAAGGGTTGTTGGAATTGTGTTGAAGTAAACCCCAATCTTTTACAAAGTCCCAATACAATTGGTAAATTGTAGCTACACTTGACATAGCCACCACAAGGCAGAGCCAACCAATGCTCCTCTCCTTCTCGTAAGCCACTTTGGTTCCAGCGGCTAACATCGCTGACACGTACTTCCCTAGGTTCACTAGGTGGCTCGTTTCACCTTCATCAAACCACCTCCTTGCACACTGTTCCAGAATCATTTTTTCAGTATTTTCTTCCTAACTTGCAAGAGAAGAAACAGAAACTTGGGGAAGAAGGAATGATGTTTAGTTTAATTTACCTGCATTGCTCTCCAGTAGTATGGGAGGAAGGAAACTGCATAGGCGAGATCTCTGTAGTATTTGACTCTCATACAATATCCAAAGTCCTGCGTTGCATAGCTACCGGTTATATAGTAGCAGGCGATGTATTCTAGGTTCCTTAGCATCGGTACCTGCGAAAGTAGAGTTAACCCATTTTCAAAGATAAGATTTTTGATACATGGTCTATGGAGAAGATCAGTTTTTTTTATAACTCTGTTTCAGTCTATGGAAATGTGATTGAAGGTATTACCTGACTACAAAGTTGATCAGCCATGAAGAAATCAAGCATCACGACTTTGTAAAGAGGTGAAAAAACTATGTTTCTAATGACTGATATAAGCCGGTAGCGGCTCGATTTGTAAAATATGTTCAAGGGACAAATCAGTATCAGCAAGAAACCCTGCAAAAAAAAAAACCATGAAAAAAAAGCAAACAGATATAGGTTACAAACTTACAAAAGAAAAAAAAAACACATGATGAAGAGTGACTATTGTTTGGTCATTAATTACCAGTAATAGAAGGCCAGGAATCACTTGAACTTGTCGAAAGGAGTAACCTTTTGCCAGAAGTGATAGATGCACAAACATGACACCGGCTATCGCAGTCATTGAAGCGGTACATATCAAGAAAACATCTCTATACTTGAGCTCATTTTTCGACCCAAGCTCGAAAATGAAACTATAGTTTATCCTCGCTTTTCGCCACATAAATATGTTGCAACCGTATAAGAATAAGTGCAAAAACAAGAGCCCAAACATGCTGCAGAACACATGAAAATTTGGCATTAGCTTCTATTGGATTAATTTCTCTTATCTAAAAATTACCATAATCATAAAACTTTTAAGCTAAAATTAGATCACTCGCCTAAGGACAGGATAAGCAGTTTCCATGTAGAAAGTGTTCTCAGAGTGTTGTCTATACATTCCAGTGAGATGAGCCACAATGATGTAGCCAGCAAGAAGAGCAACAAAGCAACCAGTGAAAAGACCTGAATAGAGATTAAATTTTAGGACAGATTTGATTATAATCTCTAAAGATTCTTTAGCAGACAAGATCATATTATGCAACAGAGAGTATAACACAATGTGACGCTCTTAGTTGTCCACCGAAAACTCAAAGATTAAAGGTTACATTGTGGAATCCTAATGTGTAAGCGTGTGATGGGGTCCATAGGCTTTTGTGTATGCAAGTGCAAATAAAAATGTCACAACATCAACAGGTAAATATTTTTTAAAAGTATAAAGCAAAAAAATCTTACCAATGAAGAAGGTGACAGAGTGAGACTCTTTACGGTGGTGCGGTTTCAGATATTTCATCGCCTTTCTGCGATTTTCTCCTGCGAAGTGCTTGATGAACCATTCCTCAACTTCGTCTGATAGAATCATCACCTG